AATATCTCAATTAATAAAACTGGTTGTGTCTATTATTATGGATTACACAGATAGCTATAGATAGCATCTTAAAATTTTGGTGGAAACCATGAAAAATGTTTTTCTCCTCAGGATTCTTTGATGAATAGAAAGTTCAAAAGAACAGCATTCATGTGAAATAGAATTTTATTTACTTATTTATTTATTTTTATTATTATTTTTGTTACAATGTAGTCAATGTAAAGTCTTAATTTTGTCCTTAAAACAAGAATAATTTTCCCAGAACGTAAAACTGCATAAGAATTTTCCAAGACATCAATATTTTCTAAGAATATATCATGAATATAGGTGTAATGTGTCTTTTTCCATTTCAGTTGGGTTTAGCATAAATCTCACTTAATTTAAACATTTTTTTCACTTAAAACAAAATGGAAAAATCTCCCAATGACACAAGACAAAAATACATTTGTATTCACATATTCACACATACATAATCCATTTTTCCTGATTGGAAAAGTATTCAATGTCCTTTACATTTTTAGTGCCACTTTTACATCGCAGACTCTTATTTATAAAGCTGAGGGGGATTGTAACAGGGTTCATTAAAAACTGAACTTCCTTGTTAATAACCTGAGGGCGACCAACCTGGACGTGCTGGTCTGCTTTCTAACAATGCTTACACAAATCAGGGGGTCACGGGTGGTATCAGGTGTGTGTGTGTGTGTGTGTGTCAACAACGAGATACTATTCTTCTCTCCGCAGCAGCCTTTCTCCTGTTTTCACACACAAATATTCCTCTTAATACACACACACACTTCACTGAGCAGCTGAAGTAGGTTAGTCTTTGCAGCTCCCATCTGCCTCATCTGCTGATTGTTAATGATCTGTGGTCGCATTCTACTGTGTTTCTCTCCATTTTCTCATGTTCCTGCCATCATCGTCTCTCTCTCGCTCACACACACACGCAAGCTACTTTCACGCTGTGACATTCATTACAGATCTCACTCTGTCGTTGCTGTTGTTCATTGCTTGATGCTGTTTTCTTGGCATTATTTTAATTTTCTCTTTCTCTTTCTTTTCCCTCTCTATATTGTGTTCCCTTTCCTTATGTACGTGTTTTGTCGTCATTATTCCATTCTCAATTCCCCTACATCCTACATTCAAACCTTTTACCTTTGTGCCGTTTGTGTGTATTGGCATGAATGTGTGTGGATGGATATTTATGAGTTTGTTTTGTAAAATATATTCCTCCCTACCTCCCTGCTTCTGTGTGTCATGTCCATTTCTTTCCCGTATGAATATATATATGTGTGTGTGTGTGTGTGTGTGTGTGTGTGTGTGTGTGTGTGTGTGTGTGTGTGGGGTCCGTGATCTCCAGTACCGCCCTGTCCAGCTCTACCGCCAGCAACGCCATGTTAGTCTCATTCCATATTCTCTCTTTGTCTCTTTCTTTCTCTCTCCATTTCTTTCTTTTCTCTCTCTTTCTCTCTCTAGAGCCCAACACTGACAGTAAGAAACAGAAACTCTTCAAAGAGCCGCCCTCCTGTCTGCACACTACATCGTTTTCTTAAATCTTTGCTGAAAACTGCCCTCAAAGAAGATAATTTAAGGCATTACAGTATTGCAAATCATTAAAAACATATTGCAAAAATGGCTTTGGAAGTCGCTATATTGTTTATTTGTCAAATATAAGCGTACAGAAAGCACAATTCAGTGCAATATATGTTGTAGTCGAGTTATAAAAGTGTCCAAGACAGACTTAGGGGCCATTCACACAGAACACTGTTTTGCTTTGAACAATGTAAGACGTGGGCGGTGGAAGGGGGAAAAACACAAGGTCTCAAAATGCGTTTTTAAAAAAGTGTAACTTTTTTAAATTTGAGCGTTTTTAGGACACCGTGTCATACGCACGATGCAAACACAGTGATCAAAGATGTCTGTCTAGCATGTGTTTGCCTAGAAAAAAAGTTTCCCAGTGGAATAGAAAAACATGTTCTGTGTGAACTAGCCCTTAGGGGCCATTTATTTTTTCCTTTGTTTACATATGCCAGTGTACATCTTTGGACTTATAAAATTCTTAAAGTATTTTTGTATAATTATATAAGATATTAAGACTTGATTCTAGAAAATGTGTCTTTGATATAAGTGTTGTTGTTGTTATTATTTTTATTATTATTATTACTATTTTTTGACACACGGGCAAATTATTTTACAATTCTTGTGTTAAATATTAAAAACTGCCACTGCAGTAAGACAAAATACACTTACTAAAAGCCGTAATATCTTGTTTTATATCTTATTTCAATGATTTTAAAATACTTAAACTCTAAAATTAGGCAAAATAGTCATAACAGGATTTTTTTTAATTAATTAATTAATTTATTTATTTATTTATTTATTATTATAATTTTTTTTTTTTTTTT